TAGTCCGTGCAGTCTCAAAGGCGCCTTCAAACGCTTTACTAAACGCTCTATTGCTCGTCTCCTTTAACACTTCTAACAAATTTAATCGACATGAATCCAAGGTAGACAAGGATGTACCACCCAACGCACTACCCTTACTCAAGCACGCTGACATACTTTTCAGCCAGAATCAATCGGTGCTCCTCCTTCAAGCTCTTGATCGCACACAGCACAGGCGCGCCGTGCTGTCTGAACAAGGCCCCTTTAAAGACCTCTCCGTACGCCCCATTGCCCAACTTCTCCAGCGCAATGAAGCGCTTGGAGGCTATGCTTGTTTCGTTTGCGAACTCTTCGATTGCATCTACGTCTACCATGGGGGCTGGCATGTTCTTCGGGTACTGTTGTGGGCTCAGTTTCTGTGCAAACGCGTATAGAGGTGTAGAGGAGCATGCGAATAAGGATACGTACATGTATGTAGATATATGTATGTGTGTATAAGTATGTATGTATGTTTTTGAAAAGGTTCGAGCCTATGCTTGTTTCGTTTGCGAACGTTTCGATTGCATTTATTTCTGCCATGGGAGCTGGGATGGTAGACGTTAACGCTAAGAGTACGTTAACAGACTTTATCTTCGGGTACTGCTGTGGTCTCAGTTTCTAAGCAAACGCGCATAGAGGAGCATGTGAATAAGAATATGCATCTGTATGTAGGTGGATGTATGTATGCATAAGTATGTATGTTATACGTATGTAAATACATACAAGTACGTACGGACGAATGTTTAAGTATTTATGCATGTTTGAAATCTATTAAAAAAGGTTTGAGGCGTTTCGCTTGCACATCTACGTCTACTATGGGAGCTGTATGTTCCCCGGGGGGGGTAGTTCTGTAGGCTCAATTTCTCTGTGTAAATATACATGACCGAGTTTGAGCAATCCTTCAATATTCTTATCGCACTATTGCCCACCGTTGGCAGTGACATGTTCCTGATATCCCACGTATGTATGTACATAGACATGTTCTTGATATCACACGTATGTATGTACATAGACATATAAGCATAGAACAGAACTCAATCTGTCCATTTCATGAACACACAAAACTAACCCTTACAAACACGCAACCAGGACAGGATGATCCGTACGTTGAGGTTGCACTATGTTTCAAGACCGAATCACGCAGACGTTAACTTCACCTTGCAGCGTATGTATACACTACACCCATAACATCGGCACGAGTGTGCTGTATGTATGCAAGGGCTTCGTCTGGTGCATGCACATGTGGACTGCTTTTAAGTGTGTGGTACACTCACATGAATCACAGGGGCAAGGCACGGAGAGACGACTCACCTTCACTTTCTGTGCCTCGCGTCTGTAGCGATAGGACATGTAGAAGAGCACTATAAGCACCGCCACAAACTGTGAGAGGACCAGACGCTAATGTATGTTAGGTAGTGATTGGTTGATAAATTGTTAGCAGCCAATGGAAGTACGTACATGGCGATGTTGGCAACCAACCAGAATCGGATTTGCGTTGAGTGGGAGTGGGTTTGGTATTGATTTTTGTAAACATACCGGTAGCAGCCAATTAAATCACATACATGGCGATGGCAAGATCCAATGGAATGCAGTAAATAGCGATGAAGTAGACCTCGAGCGATACCATACATAGCCCATTCCGACACAAATAGCATACACAGGTGTGTGTCGAGCTGTTAACGCCCCAGTGTATTAAACACCGATCATTCGTTCAAAGCAGGTGTCGCTATCGATTCATACATAGCTTGTATAGAGACCATAGCGGGAGTGAAGATATATATAT